TGTTTGCAATCACAAAGTAGATGAAAAATTAGAGATGCATTTACAGCAAATTTTTAATTCTTAAATACACAAGTATGTGATTCATCTTTAAAATTAAATCAAAGTATCTCAATTTTAATTATTCTATATCAGAATAACTTTAATTCTTTCAAAAAATAATTTGGTTTGCATGTCAAATTGAACATGATTTAGCAAATATTTTAAAAACGAATTGGATTTTTCTTATGTTTTAACTCCACTAGTTTTTATTATTAAATAATAGTGTAATTTAGTTTTTAAATATGTATATATATATATATATATTAAATTTTTAAATTAAAAAATACATACATTCATTCAACTTCTACTAGATATTACATGTTCCACCAATATGTAATTGATAGTATGTTGTTGCTTAGCAACTTGAATCTTCTATAAGTTGGTAGTATTAAGGCATCTCTAAAGGCATTAAAAAAAATATGGTGCGCATTTGGAAAAGTGTATGATTCTTAGTGATGGTATCTCTTGTGGTTCTTAAGAAAGCTTTTGTATATTCTTTCTTGGCAACCAATTCTCAAACCAAATGCCAAGCCTTTGAAGTTCTATTTCACTAAAAAACAAATTAGATCTAGACCTTTTTAATTTTATGTTTTTCATTGCTTCTTCTTTTTTCATAAAACTTAATATGCATATTTCATGCTTTAGCCAAAATCTACACATCAAACTTCATAGCTAATAAAAAATTCTAAAAATTATAGTATTAATTTCTATTATACTAACCTAACTACTTTAATTTGGTATGTAGTCATATCTACATAAATTTCTTCTAATTTAGAAGATTTATAATCTCAAATTTCTTTTATGATAAACATGATGCATGTAAATAATTATCTTTCAAATCTTGCTTCAATATTCATATTATTCACCACGCCATAAAAGTTATTACTTTTTGATTTGAATCTTGCTAAACCTCCTTCAATTTTATATTCAAATTTTATTTGTTCTAATAAGTTTATCTTTAAACTATCTTAAGAAGATAATTTGATTTATTATGACTAATGTCTTGAAAATTTGTCTCAGTTTTTTTTTTATGATAAATCATAATAAAGCAAAAAATAAGTTCCAAATTTTTTTACAATTTTTGTACAACTATAAAAGAAGATAATACTATTATGTTATTGTAATTTTTTATTCATCTAAATTACCTCAATACTTTTAACCTCTCTAAGCATTTACAAGACATCTTCAAAACTTACTAGTTTCTAAATCTCAAAACTCTCAAAAGTCAAATTAATATATTAAAAGATATTTATAATTTTATTTCTTAGAAAAATCACCTCTTAATTTTTTTTAATTAATATGTATTCTTTGGAGGTTAAAACACAAGAAACTATTTTGAGATTTTTATTATCTATTGCTATTAATGTACCAATTTTTTTTATTTCTAATTCCCTCCATCTGGTCTATTTTTTATTTATAATTAATGATGATAATTATAATTTTCTAATAAATTAAGTATTAACTAATACATAAATTAAAAATATAAAATATAATTATACTAATATTAATAAAAGACAAACTTAGAAGACTAATATAAATATGTTTTAATTACTAATTGGCTTTTATATTAATATTGAGTTATCTCAAAAGGCACAAAATAATATTGGCATAGATAATTCATCTATCTATGATCACTTATTACATAATAGATACAAGACTTACCAAATGTATGCTCAAGTACACAAATTTTGGCATAAAAGAAAGAAAAAAATTTATACTAAATTTTGCACAAGATTAAATTTAATAGTAAGTTTCATACACATATATTTGAAACAATGTATTTATTTTGTAGAATTTTATACTTATTAATTTGAAATTTAATTTATATATATTTTTATTAATATGATTGATTATGTTTTTGCTAATATATAATAAAATTAGGTTTTGATTTTATTTATTAGATAAATCACATTAAATTATATAACCGACCTAAATAGTTTTAATTATAATTGATTAAATGATACTAAAACATAATGTTATAATTTCTCAAACTTATAATCATAATGATATTTATAATTCATATTTAAATATTCATAATAAATTCTAAATATATAGATGTGTTTTGATTTTGATAACTAAAAAGTTTAAAATATCTGTATTTACATATATACATATATGCATTTAGGGGTTTGTAGGTGTGTAACAAAAATAAAAATCTTATCAAATTTAATTGAATGTTATCATCAAAAACTTTATGAAATAGCTTAGTAAAAATAAAATTTTACAAAATCTTTATATTATTTATCTAATCTTGATTATATCATATAATATTTAATATTTTTTATTAGTTTTTTAAATATTTATCTTTATAATCTTGCTTCTACTAATCATTATATATATTTATATATGTCTTTTGTATTCCTATTTAAAAACATATATTTTTTTAAGTTGACAATAGTTTGTTACAAAGATTATATTTATGATTTTTTTTAATTACTTTTAAAAACAGTAACAAGTGTTAATAATTTATTATTTTATTGTTGAGTGTTGTCATTAATTTGAATTTTTATAATGATTGTATATTATTATTTGAATGGTTAGGATATGCCACTACAAAAAAAAATCAAAAAATAAAACAAACAAAAAAACAAAGCATGTGCCAAATACTTGAGAAAAAGCTAAATAAATGCCAAATAAAATTTACGTCATATACAATTGGCATAACCAATTTAAAACATAAGATTATAGAATATTTGTCAAGATTAATTTACAATTGATATATAAAGGGTTTTTTTAAATTTTTTTTATCTTTTAATATTTACTTTACAAAGACAATAAATTATTTTATATTATTTCTATTTTAAAATTGAAATCTGATTGTAATTCAATTTTATATATTGATGATGAATAATAGTAATGATAATATGTTAATAATTTATCCATAACTTCTTAGAATCTCATGAACATAATATTGACTTAAGTTATCTTGGTTGTGTTAATTTTTTTTAATGCCTGATTATTCTATTAATTATTATAAATTATTTACAAAAAAATATTTTAATTTTTTTCATTTTTGCTATTATCATGATTTTTTTAATTTATTTTTCTGTTGTCAACATTGCAATAAATAAACATGTATTCTTTTATGTTTTTATCAAAACAAGAGGTGTTTGCTTGTGTGCAAGTCAAATTTATATCATATAAAAACTTCATGATTTAAACAAGCACCTTTGACCCTACCAATGCTAGTGATGTTGCCATTGCAGCTATTGTTTACAGAGACAAAATGCACAAGTAACATGTTTTGCCTCCATGATGTCCTATTTTTCCAACTATGCTTAATTACAATCCACAGTATTTGACATTGTTGTTACCATTTTTTTCCCCTAAACTAAGTTAAAAACATCTTTACTTTTTCAAAGTGGGTTTGTTGTTCTCAATTACAACTCAACCTTGGGAATTGCTTAGGGCTTGAACAGAATCCATAAAGCAAGATTTCATTCTAGCATTGGGTCAAACACATTAAGATATTGTAATTCTCAGCATGGGCTTTCAAGTTGATTTCCTCAGCTTGTATGTGGGTCCTACTCATTCTGATGCATGAAAAAACTTATCAATATTTACATGTTTCAAAATTGTAAAGGTAAATTATCGGCTGCAATTTTCTGTTTTCTGAAATGTACCTCTTTCAAGATATATGAATTGATGAGATAATTGAATTCAAGTTTGATTACTTTCTTTTCCATAAAATAATCCATGTAAGTTTCTACAAACAAAATCTTTCTTTCTTCGTGGTCTCTCACTTCCAATAAATATAAAACACATATCATACACATGAGTAATTGACACATTGCATGGACATGAGAGTTAAAAAACATTTAAAAGAACAGTATCAAGAACGAAATAGCCAAAGATTTTCCAAACGATTCACACAACATCAACTGCAAAATTAAAACCTAGAATGAAAACACAGTTCCTTGATATCAACCCAAATCAAAGGACAATGCATCCAAGTTCTTCTAAATGGATGACATGTTCTTCATCCTTGAACAATGTGCCCCACTCTACTTGTCAGAACCCAATTTCCATGCCTAACTCAACTTTGCACACAAAACCCACAATCTTGTCTAGTGAATTAGCTGTGGACCCACCAATCCCAATTATGTGGGTTTTTAAGCCTTTGAATTGTGTTTGTCACCCAAAGGCAGCAGTGTTTGACCAGCATTCCTGTGTATTAACCAAACCCTAATCGAAGCTGACAGAAGTCAGGGAGACAGATGGCTTTCCAGCTTCAATGCTGACTGCAGATATTTCTTTTTATGGTTTGGAGCAATGGTTGAAATAGAAGCAGAATCTGCCTCACCAGCTGCTATTAATGCTTTCATGGGCCTCAGGTGTTTTGTTTACTGCTGCAGCATGATCTGACTTCAAACTCTACATTCTACACATTGATGTTTGTGTTATTCTGGATTTTTATAGCAAGCATTCCTGGCCATCCAACTCCCCATTGCTGAAGTATGGCATCCATTGCCTTACTCTATCCAATTTTTCTTAAACAATGTCACATGTGTGTGGTGAAACAAAATACATATGAATTTTATTGATGCTCAGAATATGAAAAGATGGTAGAATTCATCTTTGAAGGAAGAAGGCATGTGTCTCAAGACCTTTAGGCCAATTTGAACTTCTTCACCAATGAGTAAAGCTGCTTCTTCACTAAATGAGTCTAGATTTACTGTAAACTAGCTGCATTGCCTGGGTGAAAGTTTCTCAGCAGGTGAAAAGAGTTGAGTTGGGTCCGAGGATTCGGCAACTCACAGTTCAGTTGATCCTTCCGGCACTGGAAGAATCCGAACGACCTTGACAAAGTCCCAATTACTCTCACTTAAACAACCTTTATTATCCAACCCAGTTACTGATAAAACGATGACACCAAGGCGAAGTAACGCAACACTTGGCCAAAACAGCCACTTTTTTGTTTTCAAAAATAAATACTCATGTGAACTAAACTCGTGGCGCTAGTCTTCTAAATATGAAGATTGCACCTCGATTTTGCCAAAGTTCACAGCGTGTTGATGATCTGTTCTCCAACGGCCGACGCTCTGCAAGAATACCGCTTAAGAAACTGAGAACTGGAAGAAACAGGCGCCGGAGTGGTTGAGTGTGATGATTCAAGCTGATGTTATCTGCTTCTTGGCGTCCCCCCTTCAACTACAGCCGCCGAACTAGTTCGTGAAGCACAATCGAAACTTGACTACTCTTCAAGGTTGCCCTGGAGTTCTCAGGTCGCACACCGCGACCCGCTGAGGCTGTGTAATTGTCTGCCACCCAGCTCGAGTCTTGACCAGACGCCGCGAGAACGCTGTCCGGCAGTGACTGAGTTTGTAGCTGTTGTAGTAGGAAGTTGGAAGCACAAGTGAAGAGCTGCTGCAGCTGACCTCCCGAGGCTTTGTTGCAACGATCGAGTGTGTGCGTGTGTGTGTGTGTATATATGTGTATGTTCGTTGGTGGCAACTGATCGGGTGCAGGGTTGGTTTGCGAGGCTTCTGGAGTGTGAAGACGATGAAGGGTGCGAAGAGGGTTTTGTGAACAGCGGTGGTGAAAAGAATGGTGCCACTTGTTTGTGCATAATGGCTGTCGCCATGTTGTCCAGTTCCAGGTTGCCCTTCATGTTTCCAGATTGTGCCCTCCCTCTTCCTTCTGCTAACACTCTAGTTGTGCGAGTTGCTCACATACCTTGAGCTCACAGTGTTGCTGAAAAATCGTCAAGAAGTTGTGGGAAATAGGTGCCACTTGTGTCAGAGGTCTGGACGGTATGAGGCAGGGGTGAAGACGCTGTAGTCTTGAGAGGTTTGGGTAGGGGTTTTGTGAACAGGGTGAAACGGAAGGGATGCACTATGAAGATCGGAAAGGGCAGTAGCAGTGTACTGGGCACGCCGCTCAGTCATATCTTGTTGGGGTTGCTTGGCTTCTTTTTCGGTTTCCTCTCCGCCCTCTCCTTCAATCAGGTGATTTATCCCTGCTCTTTAAATGACACAGTGCTCATAATGTCTGTATCTACCTCTTTGTTTTCATACACGACCCCTGGACATACAGCATGGACTTGCCAGCACAACTGCTGATACGCTCTGCAATGTAGCCTGTAAATTGCAATTGTTATCGGATAGTTCGTTGTGACTGGCTACTGATTACAAGGTTCAGTGCAGCAAGTATGTCTCTTGCCTCCTTTGAGCTACTCCTTACAACTGCCTCATATCAACTTTGCTATATCCCTATGCTTCTGGAGTTCCTGTCATAGGTAGTCTTCTCTCTACACACTTGGGTTCTATTTTGTAAGGGTGCCCAACATGCGTCTGGCATTACGAGAAGCTGAATTTCTAGAACTGGACCAAGGCTATGGTGTCCCCTGTGCGCGAGCTCAGGACATTTCCTCCGTTCCCTACAAGCTTTCTTTCCGGCATAGAAACACAGGATCACACTAACTATCGCAGTTTTCCACTTTTATCTTAGTCAAGTGAATGCCTCACTGATCACCATGCGTTCTTTTGTATTATGCCATCCACCCACCTCGTATCCTGTACTTTAGTAAGAACGCAATTGTTGGACAGATTGCGTTTTTTAAAATTCTGGCATCGCTGCAGGTTAAATAAAACATAACCAGGATTGGTAATCTGATACGTTTCGTTATTTGCCTCTGTCTGCAGCAATTGTGCATCACAAATTCATGGTACTCACCACAGACCAACCATATTGTCATCAAATCGCAGAACAAAGCCTCCAACGTTGTGCTCGAGGACAATGTCTTGCATTACTCAGTTGAGAGAGAACGAGAAAGAGCTATCCTGGAGGCGACTCCAGCACAGCACTGCCCTCCATGTGATCATTTCGAGAAATGCTCTCAAATAGCGAAGGTGTTGCTTCAACCAAGAAACTTCCTCCAACGGAACCAGTCGGAAACGGATGAGCTTACGAATGTGAAGCGCAACCGGACCACTGAGGAAATTTTGCACAAAAATGCTTCTGGATGGGTATGCCGAAATCCAACGCTTGTGGACAAGCTGCCTCAAACATTCATACACAGAACAACGGATTATCACTTCCATCGACTTGTTGGCACCCCGAAGAATGTATGCCTTGAACCTTATACCCTAACCTCTCTCTCTCTCTCTCTCTCTCTCTTGCTATAACCTAATTTCGAAAGATTGCTCTTCTGCATTATGTCTTGAAGCAGAAGTTTTTTCTCGAACTGAGCTTATGATTGATTCGCGTACAGGACGTGCTACAAGCTCCGAAGAATCTTCTTGCATTGTCAGTTGGAATCAAGCAGAGCGCCAGCGTTAATGCAATTGTTAAAAAGGTTTGCTAATTTGTGGCTTTGGAGTTGAAAATTCTGATCAAGCTACAGTTCAACCTTGTTTTGGTACTGTTTTTTTCCCATTTTCCGGATTCGGGATTAATGCCAGATATTGCTACTGCAGTTTCCCAAAGAGCATTTTCAGATTGTGTTATTTCATTACGACAACGTTGTCGATGCGTGGAGCCACTTTGAGTGGAACGATCGAGTCGTTCACGTACAGAGCACTGGGCAATCCAAATGGTATATCAATGACACGATCCTCTCTACATCAGTCTTACAATTTTCTGTCTGCACCTCAACACTATTAACAACGTTGGAAATATTTAATTTTGAAGCCAGGAATTCTGCTTCTGATGCATATCGATCTAATGTGCAGGTGGTTTGCCAAGAGATTCCTTCACCCCGATGTGGTGGCACCTTACGAGTACATATTTGTGTGGGATGAAGACCTGGGAGTGGAGAATTTTGATCCCCTAGAGTGAGCATCCATAAAGACTCCAGCTCATGTTTTTATTGTTGTTTTCGTACGAGAGATGAAATGTGTTTGACACAAGCCGAAGGGAAGACTTAAAGTCTCCCTTCACGGGATTGAATTCATTTCACAAGGTGTGCATTGATGAGAATGAAGCGGAATTGATTGTGTTGCGTCATCAGGTACATAAGAATAATGAGGAGGCATGAACTGCAAATCTCGCAGCCAGCGGTAGATGGAGCCAGCAGTTGGCCTATCACTGTGCGGCAGTCGTGGACCGGCAAGGAGGTGCATAAGCGCAACCCCTGGGAGGGTCTCTTCGACAATTGCACCAAGAGCAAAGTCACACCTCCTTGTGCTGGGTCGGTGTTCCAGTTCCAATATTTCATGCACTCGTTTCAAAATTTCATGGACCCATGTCTTCATTTATTTTCCATCAACGATGAAGCGGTACTAACAAAAAGTTCCACTTGTTTGATTCAGTTTTGTTGAAATTCAAGCACCAGTTTTTGTGAGCAAAGCTTGGCGCTGTGTATGGCATCTTATTCAGGTCTGTGAGGGCGAAGGGCCAGTGCACGGGATCTGATTCAGCTTCAATTAATTAAGAAACTGGGCTGTTTGTTTATTTTTCCCTCTCGTAAAATGTTTTCAATCTCTTTCCTTCACTGAGCAGCTTATGTTGGTGATGACAGAATGATCTGGTCATGGCATGGGGTCTGGATTTCGAGCTGAAAGCGTGCATAGATGGACTCCCACACGAGCACATTGGTATCGTGGACACTCAATGGGTGGTGCATAACAAAATTCCTTCACTAGGAACACAGGGAGCAGAAGCGGACAATCCAAAAAAGTTGCGAGGAGAGGTCATCGCTAGAAGCTTTCTGGAGTGGTCAGAAAACAAGAAGAGATGGGCAGATGGCCTCCAATCTCTGAAAGACTCCACCCTCTATTAAAGCTAGTTTCATTCATCCCGGCTGCTCAACGACCTAATTGGGTTGATGTAAAATTCATTAATTTGTTTCTATTGTGGAGGTAAAATCAACCCAATTTTCATTCAGGTGCTGACGACATGTCCATGAGGTTCTAATTCTGGAACTACCAGTCCCTCAACCCCTGCTAAGCATTTCCTTCTGAGGACGTCCAAGATTGATTTTTTCCTTAGGATGCGCACTCTACAAAGGATCTCCAGACTCTCAGCTGGGTCTTCTGAGGAAATCATTTCTTCCAGAAAAATGAAGTGGCAGAGATGAGTAGAGCCTTCATCATTTATGTAAAATCCCTCTTGTTCTTAAGTAGAAGAGGAAGGGTTGCACATCCACAGGATACTAAAACTAAATTTGGTTAGACGGAAAGGTTCAGGGGCGCTCAAAGGGAGCACGTCTCTTGCTGCACACTGCTAGATAGGTTAAACTGAGCTCAGCTTGGGTCAAGGCCGGAGTTTGTATGCTCCTTTTATCTTTCCATGCTATGTGCCGGTTTTCCTTGCAATGCATTAACTAATCCACTGTGCCAAAAGAGCAACAGAAAAAGGGTTAGATCTCCCTGGTGATGATAGTGAAGTAATCGCTTTGACTGCTTGCTGCCTGCTAAAGAACCGTAGACTGTTTTTTAACAGGCTTCGTAGACTTGAGCTGCTCTCAAATTGCTCATGTTATATATATCTATATATATGCACACACACATGCTAACAAATAAACAAACAAACGAGATAATCGTTCATTTAATATTTTCATTTGTTCATAGCTGAGTTATTATCACCTTTACGAAGTCATCATCTCAATCCTCATGCTTGGTTAATAGAATTACTCAATTATTAGTAAATTATCCCTAAACAACTGAAACAATACATTGATGAAATTACAACAAATTCACATATACGAACACTTACATAAATGAAATATAAATCTGAGTGTGCCAAAATTTTACTCAAGATTGGAACACGTTCTTATCCTACTAGGTCTTTTAATAAATGCTGTAATAACATCAAAATTTCTATAGTCACTTTACTTTCTGCACAGTATTTGAAACATTATGAAGATTCACTAAGAAAAACAATTTAACTGTAACGAAGAACAATCACTCTTTTCAAAAGCAAGTTGGAATACCTCAATTACATCTGCAGAAAATCACTGTCAAGTCAGACCATAATTGTAGGTGAACTTATAATTTGAACATCTCTTAGGCACTTTTAACCTCTTCCACCTTTGAGCACAATTCAAATGAAAAAATCCATTTTAACTCTTTGACAGCAGTACCGTCGCACACGCACAGAATTGTATCGTGCAAGTTGTTGGGAGAGATAAAAACCTAAAAGATGGCATGCAGTAATAATCTATTGCTTCCGTGTTCATCTGATAGTTAAATTATTGATGCAATACAGGGAAACTATTGCTCCAACCAAAAGTAATGCCCTAATCTGTGGCCCGGTTCAGGTTACTGGCGCTGTCCAACGCCTACCTCTCAATCTGCTACCAAAATATCCATGTCACCATGCTTAACCACACGAAAAGCGCGATATTATACATAGAGTGATGGATGCGATGGAAGTAAAGAGCCCAATTTGTAACCAAAAAACAATCCTTGCCCTAGATGAATAACAGTGAAAGTTTTGACAAAAAGTTAGTGTGGAGCTCTGAATGAGCAATTTGCTTACTTGGAATACAACTCTACCTTGTGTCTCTGATCAAGATCTACAAATGGATTGTGGACTACCAAGAGCAGGGAGATGTCACCAAACAGGAAGTCAGCTTGAAGTTTATTACAAGTCGGTTGTAAACCTTCCAGTCGTCAAAGTTGGGAAGTAGCTACTCTCTCAGCAAAATCCTATTGAACCGAACCAACATGAACTGGTTAGTTTTCAGACTTGTGAGATGTTCATGCAAACTTTAAAGCAACAATGCAGCTTTATAAGCCCCCCTTCCTCCAAGTTGCAAAATCTTAATGCTTCGGGAGTAGTAAAAAACCTGTTGCACGCGTTGAGAGCATTCTTTATACATTCTCACTGCCTCGGCACACTCTACGGGACTCTGCACCCAGAGGATGAGTAAGACGAACTGCTTTCACGGACCGAGTGCAACTTGCAAAATATTAAATGTCAAATTAGGAAAGCAAATGTAAGGCAGCGCTTTCTACGGAAAATGCTACTATTTGGTTATGCTACTATTTGACATGTTTCACTAAATACTCAATTAGTAGGAAGCCTAGATATGTAAAAGCAGATGTTGCCATGTTCGAACCTCTGGGGATCCCCGGTAGCACTGTAAACACCTCTCCTTCTCCGCCTGGCAAGGGATTGGATACGATGGAGCCCTGAACTCCATTTCATTGTTGGTTAAGTGTCAGATGAATAAGATACTTGCCATTGGAACGCCATACACATGAAAAACACGTCATACACCCGACATAAATGTACTCATCATAGAATATTAATGGCCAAACCGTGTGAATTGAGATCTTATCAAATTTCAAACTATGTGGAACCTCTAAAACACGACACTGCGTGTTATGTAAGAGTTTTCCAAGTACAATAAGCACGCACCGGAATTGTCTGTCTTGCAGCTCTTGGGCAAGTTGTTTTACTTTCTCCAACTCCGAATTTTCTTGCATTTGTAGCTTTTTATTCAAATTTTCCTGTAGTGAGCAAGACGTCCAATTTTTTAATAAAAAGATCATACTAAAGGATAAATCTTAGTAATTGATATTAGGATAAAGATTACTTACAGTTTCTTCGAGAACCTTATAGATGGGAACAAGGTCGTGCTTTTGTTCCTGTGATTGTTGGTAAGCTTGTTCTTTGTTTATTCCAGGCACACCCGATAGAAATCCACGATAAAAGGGCAGTGGAAGACCCTGTTTCGTAACCAAGGGAGCTTCTAATGGCTTCACGCTTGGTTTCGGCGCAGGAGCTTTTCGTGCTGGTCTTTTTGCTACGATGTTCTCCTTCGCAAGCTTTTGCACAAGCTCATTCGTAACCTAGCAGACAAGAGAGATCCATAAGACCCTAAACTTAAATATGACCACATTCCCTTTCAATTCAGGTTGACAACTTCAGGGATGTCATACACTAGCACAAAGAAACAGCTAAATAGATGTACAAAGACCTACGAACTCAAGTCATCTTTTGCTTCCAGAATTCGGAAAAAGACAAAAATGCATTCTCTTTGCCAGCCAACGCCTTTTCCAAATTCTATAAGCAAAGAGAAATTATGCGCCTAACTGCACCATGAAGGGGAATCAATTAACCTGCAAAGAGAAGGCGTTATTTGCTGGGGCCATTTCTTTGAGTGAACCTTGCTGATTGAGATCCTGCTCACATTGTCAAAACCACAAACATTGTAAGCTTTCAAAAAATACTCTGCACGGCCCAGACAACTAATTCACTGGCAACTATTGCCACAGTACCCTGCACCGCTCGATGAGAAAGGAGATCATATTTAAGGGCTCAAGGAGCCTAACAAAGTATTGCTTACTAAAGTTCGGGATTCCACTTTTCAAGTAGAAATCGACAAACCATGGGACAGAAAGCTGGACAGTAGAGCTTTGGTACCTAGAAAAAACCAAGCCATGCAAGCTATCACTACAATATCCAGACCTAGCTTATGGACGTTTACTTACACGATCGACCAAGACATCCGGCACACATGATAATCCAGGAATCACTGAACAGCATAGCTCTTCTTGCAGTTAAAAACTCTCAAAATTTCCATGCTGGATCTACCAGGATTCTAGTGGGAATTCTGGAATTCGACCAAATTCTCAACTACTAATTTGCAAGCACAAAATGGAATAAAAATTTAGTCATCGAAAAGCACAAAGGCGATCTTATTGAAGCTTCAAGGTGCAGTAATACTAAAAGGACATGAACTCTTCAAACTGGAACACTACAATTCTAGGGCAGCTCAATGGTGCCAAATGTCTCAATATGAAGTACGCCATATACATGCCATCAACACTGAGATCACGGTACAAGAAGAAAGAAATAGAGAAACAAACAGAATTTCAGGAGAAGAAATCCGAATTCGATACATTAATATCAATCAAGGGCGCACCGATCGCCAAATTCTTCAAAGCTCAAAGCTCCATGTCTACAAGGCCCACGCTCTACCAATACAGTTACAAATTTGGACTGTGCAAGTTTTTACAAATAAGCACGAAACGAATATTGATAATTCAAGTGCAATGGGGACAAATTGGCACCTGGAAACCAGCGACAAGACTTCGCGAGGAGCAAGCTTGTGATCGGGGTGCGAGAGTCTTCCGAAGGGGAGGAGGACACTGGCAAGTTGAGTTCGAGACGACGACTGATTCCACGTAGAAGAGTCGGCCCTAGATTCATTAGTGCACATTCCACTCAGAATGAGTTGTTGTGTGGTGGCCAACTGACGAATGTCGTCGAAGTGTTTCCCCAAAGTGAATGGATGATTCTAGTTACGTTCATCCATGATTCTTTCCAAATTTGTTACAGAGGTGTGCTTAATTAATCCCAATGTTTATGGATTTCTCATAAATTCAAGTCAAAATTCAAGCAATAGGAATTTAACCTAGAATCGACACACTTAGCTATGAGTGAAAATCAGATTATGAGATTTACATAGCATATTTCTTTGGGTTAAAATGAACTGCTCAACATTACATTTTAGCATTTGCATTATATTGATTTGTAGGTATTTCGACACATGTTCTTGTGGGAGTGCAATGGTTTTTAATTTAACATAATTCTTCTGTCATTCAAAATTTAATATAAACTATACCATGTGTTACCATGTATATGTGTATATATATATATATATATATATATGTATATTTATTTATTTATTTATTTAGTGTGTCTGTAGGTTTGTTGAAAGATCTAATAGAATATCCTTTCAAGTTTTTTGGAACTTAGAAGATGAAGGAGAAAAATAAATAAAAATAAATTAAGAACATGCATTGCCAAAGACAATAATGTTTTGTAATCACAAGGTAATAGAACTCCTTGACAAGTATATTCTTTTTAAAATATTTTCCTATTTTAAACTTGAAAAGCTTTTAGACATATATGCAAAAACATAAAATAAAGTAAAAACGAAAATAAAGTAAAAATGATAACTTCGAATGGTTGGAAGCCAAAATCTGCATAATGTGGGAATTGAAAAATTATTATACTTTTGAAACATTCAAAGTTTGTCTTTTAAAGGGAAATTTTCTAGTTTTGAATTTGTTTAATTGTCTAAAAAGAATTAAACTAGGAAAGACTCTAAAGAAGATTTTTTAAATTATTATTATTTCTTCTTACTGCTATGTGGTTTTAAGGGGTTGTTCAAAAATTCTAGACTCAAACTTCAAATTTTAGAATCTTATTGTCAAAAAATTTTGCATGTTTGTATACTCAAGTGGATTTTGAATAGCAACAATATATGTTAGGACAAATGTATTTTTTCACTTTATAACTGCCACATTGTCAAAATTTAGAACACAAAATACATATTAGAAACACTAACTTTTTTGGTTGGAATACAAATAACATTTGTAAAATGTGATTGGTTCTTATCGACGTAGTATCCTTCAAACTTAACACAGATTGGTATTAACGTTTATTGAACTCATTTTAGTATAAACCATTCAGAGTTTTAACAAGCACAGCTGGAGGTCAGTCTAATATCTCTGCTGCAATTTCCCAAAGCCTCCCACGACTAAGTCCTCCACTACTTTAACTAAAAGTGTACCAATTCACAATACTTCATATGAATTCCACGTTGACAAAGCTGTCATAAGAAATTCTCCTATACATAGTTAAGAGGAAAAAGAACAAAAAAAATTCATTACAAAACATTCGAAACATTCAAATTTGTAAGGAGTTAATTGAATCAGAACACGCATTACCAGAATCACCTGTTAAGAAAATCTCTTCACGCCTCATACTTGCCCTTCGAATTATAACCGTAAGTTTCAATGGCATGGTCACGGCTTATCGACTTAACTAAGAATAGAATTAAACCCTCTGATATATTTTCTCACAGAATTAATTCCAACAAAATAGCAAAGAGAGAGAATCTGCTTTAACGGCAAAGTCAATAAATGAATCACCTACACATTCAAGCCTAAACCTACTTACGTGCTGCTAAAGTAATTGCTTACAAGTTCAGTCCATCCGACAGATGGAATAAGCTTCCAGATCTATGCATGGGACTAAATCACTACTAGTATCAAAATTGGAAGATGAAGAAAAGTGGCAATTTCTTTCTAAGTGAGAGGAGAATTGTGAGGAGTCGACAAAGTAATCCTAAATTTGCGAAGACGCTTGAATAAGAGGCTCCATAATTCCTTGCAAGGACTGTAAAGCCATGTGAAGCTTCACTTCAGATTGAACTCGATCCTTCAGCACGCATACCTACAGAAAGCCATAACCATATAGACGCTTGCTGAGAAGTTCCAGACACACAAATGCTGGACAACTCGAATGCACAAATGCTATTTGTGAACACATTTGTAGTTGAAATACCAGATTAACAGGTGCCATCCTTTAGGCAATTTAAGTATTCCAAGAAGCAAGATTACTTACAAGATGTGTTATCGTCGGTGAAAGTCCGAGAGATTCAGAGTAGGTGTCAAGAACTAGATGGGCAACTGGAATTAGAAGTCTCGCCTGTCTTGGCATCACAATATATCTGCTCAATACCAAAAGACGAGTTAAACAAGGACACAAGAACAAGCTATCTCTACACAAAAAAAAAAAACCCAATGAGAATGCTTAAATGTGAAAAGAAAACTCGATTCCGTAAATTACTAAAATATTTGAGGAAAACTGCATCTACAATCCACCATCTTACTTGCATAGAAATGCGAGCAGAGGTTCGAGAGCGGGAGCATCACGATTTGAAATGGCCTTCACCAGTCCACGTCGAGCTATTAACTCTTCCATCACAGCTACGATAACCTGCAAGAATTAGGAAAAACGTAATTATCAAGATCACCATTTGGCCTCAAACGTCAGTGACGATTCCAAAACGACAGTGACAGCTTGCAAAAGGAGGCCATCTTTTTAAGGCAAGCAAGAAAACGATGTGTTGCTAAACGACTGGTAGATTTACCAAATAACAAACATTGAGCAGATCTTAGACAGTGCGACGTCCAGACTGGGTTATAAGGAAAGAATGATAACCGTGGAATCTGATGTTGCCAGCGCAGAAGAGAGCGCTTCTCTGTACATGAACTTTCGTAGAAACTTGTCTTGCGCCGTAAGACGTTGTCTTTGAGGTCGAGCTAGTACATGATCACCTTCCTGTTTAGAGATAAAGCATCTAGTCAATACATCCATCTTCCCCATACATCAATCTCAACTGCTAACACCCTCGTCTAAAGGCGAAGAAGGTGAGCCTTTGAATATAAGGTCTTTTATCCAAGATCCAACATCAACATAACATTAAATAAGTTCAATACGTGAAAACAAGCACGGTATACTTCAATAATCCATAGGAAGGGCATACGAAACACAAATGCTCTTCCTCCGCAAGAATCAGTATGAGACAGTTGTGCTTCCTGAGCAGCCGTTACGAATTGCAGAAGTGCGTTGCATTAAAACTGATACATAACCACACGTAAAGAACCTAAATTGAAATTTACTGACCGATGCTTGTTCTGAGCGACCTCGCAAAAAGTAGCGAAAATTATTTGGACGTAGTTGCTTGGCTTTCTTGGGCGTTGTAGTATCCAATACATTTTGTGGCTTCTCAATATCCTCCTCGGATTTCGGTTCTTTTTTCTGACGTACGAAAAGCATTCCTGAAGCTGTCCCTACTGCTAGGGTTTGGGATGATGCCGACAAACCCATGCTCAAGAGTGGGTGTGGATACTTGGCAGCATGTGTCACCTTAAAATCAATCACGGGTTTTGATTAGATCTACCGCAATAAATCTTAAAGGGATGAGGAACAAAGTCAATTAATCACCAGTACAATATCAGGATCTAAAGGGCGGACCTACACATCAACTCGATCTAGAGACATAGGTATTCAATGAGCCTTTCTGGACACCGAATGCTAGAAAATTCACACAACAAAGAAAAATTCGAAGTCTTAATTTCATCAAGCCGAATGAAGAAGATCAAGGAAAAATTCTGCCAATGTGAAGCCCAAGATGTGGTCGACATATACTTCACAAAAATGTTTTAAGGACAATGAAATAGTGTAGAGGAGAAGTACCTTAAATTGACTTGTATCAAAGACTCTAACATGGCCATCCAGAGAAGATGTCAACAGTCTTGGGGCGTCTGGTTCTAGAGCAGAAGTGGACTCACGAGGACACATAATAGTGAGAGATGTCACAGTTTTCTGGTGATTCCCCAGCGTTTGGACTTCCCTTCCTCCACCTACTATATCCCATACCTTTACTTCAGTACCCCCCGCAGAGGCAAGTAGACCTCCTGATGGGAAGAAAACTACATCTTCCAGTGGCTTCCCGTGCTGCATTTCCACTCCAAAATTAAAATAAATACATGAAATTTTACATAAACATAACTTGATGCTTCTTGAGAACGCCCAAGCCGAGAAAAAAAAAAAAAAAAAAAAACACTACAAAAAACCTCTAAATATGTGCATATCTCGGTGAAATCATGTGCAAGAAGATAAATCACGGACCTCCAGCTGCAAGACGCATTTAGGAGTGCGAATGTCCCAAAGACGTACTGAATGATCATAAGATCCAGTGGCCCTGCAAAATTAAACCAACGTGCCATCAACAACATAAGCTTGCTGAAGAGGCGTGCTTCCATGGCAGAGTGAAAAGGAGTACAGAAGGGAATTCTCACGACAAGACAAACGTATTTATCAGCTGGGAAAACATACCAAAGGTCGTTCGTTGTAGGGCATGCAACACCACAACGAACATAATCAGTGTGACCCTCCAAAGTTGACAAGGATTCCTGAAGCACCAGAACCGCATAGAACATCCCATTAGATGATGACTATGTAGAGTGTACATTAGCGAAAGAGTTAAAAACAGATTCAGATATAAACCTATGAGGCACTAAGAATATCACATGATAATGTCGTAAGAGAAAAAGCATACCGAAGTGGACACATCCCACCACCGCACGGTACGGTCGTCACCTGCCGAAAAAATGTGTAGCTTATCCTGAGGAGCATATCGGACCCAGTGGACCGCTCTACAGTTACAGCAATGATAGTGAGATTTGGCTGTGGACAGCTGAAACTGGGCAAATTTGGTCACAAGACATATTTGATTCTACATTGAATTGCTTTCGGCATAGGCTATAACTCTCCAAATAAAAGTTGACGGCAAAAGTTGCGCCATTTTTCATCGCTTTTCATGTGACAGTAAAACTGCACCAAACTAACTACAGTCGACAATCTGGCAACAATGACGAAAGGTAGTTAATTCAAACATGAGCCAAGGCATGCGTCATTACTGTTGCATGTAAACAACACGTTACATTGTTTAGGCTGTTGACGAATACTCCAAAGACGGTAAGACTGGAAAGATTTGGAAACGGGCAGCCAGAACATTTCGGTGATAAAAACGTTTGGGTTACTTACCCTTTATGTCCTTTTAGCTGACGCAAAATTTGGCGGCTGCCAAGATCAAATACCTGCGAATCAACAACCGTTCTTACAGTCTCAGACCTCACGAAGAAGAGCTTCATGCAACTCGCATATGCTGTCCAACAACAATCAATCAGGGCCAGAATTGTCCAGAGCCATTCTTTTCGGTGTAGAAGATCAATATCAAGTCCAAGGAAGAAAAAACCATCACCTGTACAATTCCTGTTTCACCACCGGCTGCAAGGAGCTGACCATCGGACCGGAAAGTTCCTGAGTAAGCCTGCAGCAAGACAATTCAAGGCCCACAATAATCATAAATCAGTCATAAACCATTAACACTGGTACGATACAGCCGAAGTGCTGCATAATTATCGGGAGTACCTTACTCACATACGGAGACAGAATTTCTAGAGCAGGATTCGGCCTTTCAACCTGTACGTATAAAACAACCAACATGCGGCCCCTGCCCTAGTCGACACAAAACTGAGGGGTTAGGCACGTACCACGTCAGTGAACCGTGAAATAGTCTTCTTCACTTCTCCCGTGACTCCATCGTAGATAGTAACCTAGAATTAAGAAAATCGCGAATACTCAAAACGCACTCCATCAACACCTTCAAACCATCCAACGAAACGTTCACTGCGTTTACATAGCTCTATACACAACGACAGCGGGTGAGAACAGTCTGGGGTTCACAAAATCGTACTCTAGTCGAGGACGAGACAGCAAAATCGTAGTGATCGACAGGAGAGAACTGGATTGATGTGACAGCGCCAATGTGCTGAGGCGTGCTTAGAATCTTGAATGCTTTCCAATACTTGGCATCTACTGTGAGCGCATTTTTGGACGCAGGGTACGCCTTCGGTCGAACGGGCACGTAATCCTTCCTCCCCCTTTCCATTCTGAATCGAGCGCTATCAACTGTGATTGTGAAAGACTAAGTTGCTCTCCTCACAATTCGCGAACAATTCCGTATAGTCGTGCGCCCGCCATTCCCAGAGCTCAGTCAGTGCGAAGGGATTCTGGCAGACGCTGAAAAACACACAGCAACTGGATGTTGAGGACTTAGGGCATCCGGATTCTAGGGTTCAGGGTTTATGAAAACCAGTCTCGCCCTGCCTGGCCCCTTTCACACTGCGGTCCATAGTCACACTGAGGCCCCCTTTCACACTGCTGCCAGAATGTGTTTGACCTGTTCGAGGAATGGTGTGCGTTCAATCTTTCCACACCATAGCTAAATGTGTGTTTTTGAAAGGAAAGCTGAGGGGATGGTTTCATGTTCATTATCTGGATCATGTACATCTGTTTAATTCCTGGTCTGATTTAAATTAGCATGAAAACTAAATACTATTGTCCTTACAATATTTTCATGTGATTTCTTAACTACATGTTTTGAAGCATGAAAATAATACTTTTTCGTTTGGTACTCGCTGTGCCTTCTAGGATGCTTCAACATCAATGGATTGTTCAAAAATCCATGCTTTGAAAAAATGAGATGACATTACTATATTGATTATAAGAATATTTTTACAACTCTGACTTAATACTAATATAATCAAGAACCAAACAGGAGATGTGTATATGTGTGTGTGAGTGTGTGTATAGTTTCATGAATTGTTTTCTTAGTGCTCTAAAAGTAGTTTTAATTGTTGCATGTATTGCAGTATAGCACAAAGCAATGATTTTTCAACAATTTAAGAAATGACCGCTTAAGTAGAAAGTAGACAAGAAATTAGAATAAAAATTTAAAAGGAGGCACCATCAAAGATTTACTGGAGCATGAATTAAATGCAAATTTTCAATAAAAAAATATCAAAAGCTTTCATACGGTTGTAGAAATGTCTAATTTTGTTGGTAAAAACATGGAACTAAAAAAGTTATAGACGAAAAAGTTAGAAAAAATTGTCCGAACCTTGGTATAAGAACCGCACTAAAACGATATGAAAATGTTGATGATGCTTTCAGTGTTAATTTTTTCAATTGTTTGCTCAAAATTACGTTCACTGTGTAAACTTTGGCCTGTTTTGTGATGTCCCTGTGAAGCCATCTAATTTTATATATATATATATATATATATTCACTTTATTGTTGCTTTTTAAAAAAGGTGCGATTCTTTATTTTCTTGTGAGTTTTTTCATGTGCATCCGCGAATAATTAAAGTTATTTATATCCTGGAACTGTCGTTTGACCTTTTCAGAACTTAAATCCACAACAGGGTGAGGATTATCTTATTTTTTCACAATTTACTTTCTCAATATTGTAGCAGAACCATTTGTTGGGATAAACGAGCTTGTGTAAGAGTTTATTTAATGTTTTTCTTAATGTGGTAATAAATGCGCACATCCTTCAATTTCATCCAAGATGTCTGAGATTGTGAAAGAAATATTTGATTCATTTTTTCCAGTTGCTTCGTAGGTTTTAATTTGCTAGTAGCAGATTCCTTCAACACAATTTTTCAATTATTCAAAATTTTTTAATACGTACAATTCAACATGATGTATTTTCCACGATATCCTATTCACATGAACCTACCTACTTGAGATTGTGGGTTAAAATTAAATTTATATTCTAAATCAGTACAACTATGCTTTATTAGTGTATATACATATATATATATATATATATCACTTGAAATAGAAAAATATCTGGGGCTTGATCAAATATAAATACATGAATTACATGTTTCTCTTTTTAGACTCTAGTACTTGAACTCCAAACATCCATTAAACTCTTCTCGCTCTATTTTATAACTTCAGATTTTTTGTAAAGTTTTTAATGAGTTCAAGTCCCAGAAGGCACTCCAGATGAATTCCTCCTGGTGTGTGTGTGTGTGTGAATGAAGAAACGTGGTATCCACCAAAATTCAAGATGTGCATTATTTCATCAAAATATCATCCAAAGACATACTTCCCGAAGAAGATTAATTACTTAAATTGAGTGGTTAATCACGATTTCTCTACTCTCGTTCGTTCGTTGGACGTTCGGGTGACTTCGGTGCACAGAGACATCCATCCAGCAGACGAAGCTGCAAAAGCGTCTGAGGAAGCGAGAAGTTCGAACGAGAGTAGGACGAGTGTTGGGGCAGGGAACGGTGGAGAGTGATGAACGGAAGGAAGGCACAGATCCAACCGGGTTCCGACAGAGCACGTTCGACCCACGCCGCAGAATTCGAAACCCCCCGCAGCAGACTCGTTCAAATCGCCAACTATAAACATCACCAGAAACTGCGAACTCGGGAACGCCAAACGCTAACTGGGGAAACGTCTGTCGGGGATGTCAACCGACGAGGGGACGTCGTCCGTCGCCCCATCAGCATCCTGACGACGAAGCTCCCCATTTCGTGGACCATCTCCGAGGGGTCGCGAAGCGTGATCGTCGAGTCCCCGGACGGAGCGTCCCAGAAGTGGGAGATCTGGGCTGTTTTTCGTTCGTGGTCATGGGGCTGATTTCGTCATAGTTTGATTTCGTTCGGTGGCGGGGGTGCTTGAAATCGATGAAGAAGTAGGTGCTGTTGTTGTCTCTCTCTGTCTGTGCACCGAGAGAGAGAGAGAGAGAAGGAGACGCGGGGTGGGATGTAGCCATGGCTTCGGCGACGCGCACGAGTCAGGCGGAGCCCTGGGATGACCCTCACCACGGCATGGAAGGGGGCATATGGGACTTGGAGTACGTGTATCAGTTGCAGCTGGAGGAAGTCATGGCTGCGTCGATCGCGGGCATGATGAGGGAAGAGGAGACAATTCATGACAACCCGGTGGAGGTGGGAGTGGTAGAGGCCCGTATAGGGGGAATAGAGGCGGTGGTGGAAGAGGAAGAAGTAAACGAAGTTGGTGGTGAGAGAGTAGAAGAGGAGGAGGAGGAAGAGGTTGATGATGGATCAGTTGTGGATTGTGAGCAAGAGCACGACATTGAGGTGCGAGCGGTGAAGACACCAGAGGGGCATGTTGGGATTGGTGCTTTAATCACCAGGAACGACAGCGTTTTGTGGCGGGAGAGCAAGTATGTCGGAATAGGTATGAGTTGGCATGTGGCGGAGTATGGAGGCGTGCTCGATGCTATGGAGGTTGCTGAGAGGCTCGGATTGCGGTTTCTCAATGTTTTCGTGTCCTCTAGAGTGGTCAGCGAACAGGTCAGATAGCTGATTGAGTCATGCTTGATTGGAATTCAACAGATTTGCGGGAATTTTGTTCAGTTTCTTGTTTACCTGCTGTCCTTTTGTGCACATATTTAGCAAAGAATATCTTGTGATGTTTGTTATCTATTTTTGTGAGTTCAGAGGGTTTGTGAGGGTATCTGCGCCTGGAACAGAAGGTTAATCAGGCTCTAAGGGGATGACTAAATATAATTCTTTGACTTTTTAAGTTGTCAACTGTTATGTCGATCTAGGTTAGGGTTCATGAATCGGGTTTCAATCTTTACAGACTCTCTCACCCGAACACGTAGCGAATTTATGCACGCTGTAGGATATGTTCATTGGCACGTTTTAAGTTTCGCGCAAAATAGGTTATTTTAGCGGAGGATTTGGGGAGAAACCTCCTGTTTTGCGATCTTCAACGAACATTACCCCTCATCATGGAGTTAGCTTGTTTGGCTCTATTGCTTGTTCTCTGCGAATTCTGTTCGAGCAGCATACAGCGTTTTATTGTGGATATGTAATTCTGAATCCATCTCCATTAGTGCGTGAACATCGAGATTCCAATGAGTCTTTTCACAGATCTTCACTGCGCTCGAAAGCTCAGCAAAATTGAGGTAAAATGGAAAATGGATCGTGAGTAAACCGCATGCGAAGTTGTATATCGGGTACAGGAAGTATGGGCTGGACTGAGGTTCTTGGTTTTCTTGACGGTCAAGACGTCTAGTTGTTTATCTACATTTACACACCGTGACGTGCCTGGAAAGTTAAAGGGAGGCTTTGTTTATTTTTGTATTTCTAGGCCTATTTTTTACTTTGGAGATCTGTATGAATTTTAGTGGCTATATTCATACATCCACCGGACAGGACTTTTTACTTCCTGGATCTCATTGTTCATCTTCATTATTTCTGCTTGGTGGGTAGTAACTGATAATTGTAGTAGCTTAACCTCTCATAGTTACTATAACTGCTTACGGTACCTCTTACGTTCTGGCATTTAACCAACCACTTGCTGTACGATTGTTGATATTATTCTTTGTACTGATATATGGAATAATAGCTCTAATACAAGTATAAATTATGCTCTGGTGCGGTTGAGCAGGTGAATGGATTTTGGAAACCCAAGCAGACCAACCAGTGGATGCTGTTATACCAAGTTCAGGACGCAATGCAGAACTTCTCAAGCTTTGGGATACGATCTTGGCCGAAAGGCTCTTATAATAATTTTGTTACTCAGTTAGCGCAGGCTGCTATCACAAATCATTTGATTGGTGACGCATCTTCATCATACTCCGGCGCTTCTACTGCAGGAGCATTTGATGGGGTGTTCCACCCAAATGTGACATCGCATGCTTCAACTTCAGCTTATTCATCAAACTCCAGACGGTACGTTTGTCCTGGACTCGGTTGTTCTCTGTCACTATCGAATAGTAAGCCTTATGTGATACTTGGTATCTAGAGTTGACTAATTTGTACATGTTTGACTGTGAAGGCCAATTTTATTTGGTTATTCTATCTGGAATGATCCTAGAATTTTTAGTATGTTGATTCAGCTTGGAACAACTTTCATGAATAGTATACAGAATGACTTACGTGTATTTTTGGCCAGTTAAACGGATGTGTTTCTCTGCTGCAGGGAAAGCAAGGAAAATTGTCTCATTTGTCTTGAAGACAAATTACCATCAGAGATGGCGACTGTGAAGAAATGTCTGCACGAATTTTGTGATGCATGCTTGCGACGACATGCCGAGGTTCAAGTTCAAGCCAGCCAGGTTCCAATTCGTTGTCCGGAGGTAACGTTTTTACAGTCACCCGTACGAAGGTGATTTCTTTTTTGGGGGAAACACAACCTTCCTATCTTTTTACGACACTAAACTTCTCAATTAGTTATGTTTGAGAAGTGTATATATATATATATATATAAAATTTTAGACAAGATCTTGGTACTTAGATGTGTTGAGACTCTTCTTTAAAAATGTCAAAATATCCATTGTTTCATTCCTGATCTTCCGATCATTACATTCATATCTATGAAGAGTGCTGCAGATGCTCAGAGGCATATATAAAATGCCATTTCCATCAGGTCAAACTGACGGTTCTTTCATTTGAATGAATCTCAGTCAGGTTGCTCGGAGGAACTTGAATATCCTGAAGAATGCAAACAGTATCTTACAGTGGAGGTGTTCAACATACTGACAAAGCGACTTACAGAAGCAAGAGTTCCCGAAGGGGATCGAGTTTACTGCCCGTACACAAATTGCTCTGCTTTGATGGATAAGGGTGGCTTGGATCCTCCAGGACAGGTATTACATTGCTGTATCACCTCATCCTCAAATGTAATATATGTGACTTACTGCAATCGTGTGTCGTTTTCATCGCATGTATCACTTGCATATTTCTCTCGATCACGTACGATGTCTTCATTTTTGGGGTTTTATGTGCAGAGCACGTCAGTTGCACCCAACAAACTGTCAACGTATCAGAAAGTAGCATGCGCTGAATGTAGACGAAGCTTCTGTTTAGAGTGTCGAGTTCCTTGGCATAAGAACCGATCTTGTCAGGAATATCAAAACCTCCCTCCCGATCTTCGAGATGCTGAAGAAAGCAATCTCTACAAATTGGCTCAAAATCAGAAATGGCAACGATGCAAAAAATGCAGACGCATGATTGAGCTTGCTGAAGGTTGTTACCACATGACGTGCCGGTGAGTATACACTGAAACGATCTGCTGCATCAAAATATTTCTTTTCCTGGATTAAGGACTTTGTTACTCTTCCAGAGTGATTTAATAGTTTGGCAGATATAAGCTTGTTTGATGTTATATCTTGTTCTTTCACTACAATCAGAACTAATTAGTGTTGCTGCACGCCTTTCTCGCGGACCTGTTTTCTTCCGATTTTTAGCATAATTATTACCTACTTACCAAGTTAGTTCATGGCGTTTACACTTTTGAGCTCAGAGTTCGGGTTGAATGCGCATCTTCATTGGAAGAGGATTTCCTCATCATTTCTGTATGTCTTTCAACTCTGGTCAGGATAAGTTCTTCTGGGGTCGTTTGTAGGACTAACTGAAACGAATGAATGATTTAGGTGTGGATATGAGTTTTGTTATACATGCGGCACAGAATGGAAAAACAAGAAACAACAATGTCAATGCAAGCTCTGGGACGAAAGGAATATTATTCGCACACCTCGGGAGTCAGATGACGAGTCTGAAGACGATTTGTTTTTCGGAGATGATGGCGACGATGACAACATGCTGGTTGACGACTTTTTTGGCTACGATGACGAAGAAGAATTTGACGACGTGGATTATGACTGGGTTATGACTGATGTCGGAAACCCTTTTCGAGGTTTTGAGCTGGTTGGGGAACTGCATGGGGTTAATCGAATGTTTGATGGGTTGGGATTGGAGCCTACAGTACCTCACCAGATACCCTTCGCCAACAGGCTGTACAAGACAAAGCTGTGCAGGTATTATTTGCGCCCTGGTGGGTGCAATGACGGGCGTCTTTGCAATTTCGCTCATGGCGAGCATGAGTTGCGCCATGTATGACGTGGTTAGGTTATTGGATTTTGATAGTGGATTCTAGTAACGTGCTGCTTGTAGGTGTCTGGAAGACTCTTGCAAACTATGTTAGGAACCTAGCGTCTTAAAGACTGCCCTCTCCTTTTAACATAGCAGTATTTGCAAATATGTTTTAGATATTTTAGTGAAAATACTTTTGAGTGGATGTAGATCTTGTAACTTGCCTGAGCCTGTGTCAACGATAGATGTTAACTAGCTTCGTGTTGGTGGAGAATCTGTCTGAAGAATATTGATGGACATATATTGCCTTGTATAGGATGAGGTTAATAGAATGATTTGTATCTAGAATAGTCCTCAAGCTTGTTCAACTGAAGTTCATCGTGTGGAAGACAGACATTGACTCTCCCCAATATTTGGGTGAAGCAGTGGTATTTGTCTTGCAAGTTTTCAATCCTGAATACTACTAATATTATCCTTGAGGTTTTGGATGAACACATTCACGAAATAATCAGGGTTACTATCTTAATTTAAAGTGAAACTAAAAATACTGGGAATATATCGTATTAACTAGTAAAGGTGTATGGGCTCTAAATATTAAGATTGGTTCCAAATTGAAATGGAGGAGAATTTCACAATTTCGTGATAATCCTTTACTGCACTTGTTTTGGATACGTTCAAAGAGTGATTGGTACATATGGATTGTTACTCTATTTATCAATTTGTTATTAACATTTATAGAGATGAACAAAATTTGTCATCATTATTTGTAATAATTACATGTTTTCAATAAAAAAGTTAGACATGACAATTCATCAAATGAAACATCTACATTGTCAAATCGTCCTCCATTTCAATTTAGTTTAATTATTATTTTGTTCAAAATTTTCTTTAGTGTCTTTATTTCATTACCATATAGTCTTTTGAATTTTATTTAGATTCATGTCTTTGACGTCTTCTACATTAATTGTGTATCATGTAATAATTTTTCTATATCATGAACTTTTAAAACTTACTACTATGTCATAGAAAAGTAAAAAACACTTTTTATTTAAAGAACATTATGAGAAATCTTAACTCTTAAATGATTTGATTAGTGAAGATCAAGCTTCTTTACAAATTCATTTTTTGTCTTAGTACAAAAATGAATTTCCAATATTTCAAGAAAAAAAGGTGAAGTAAAATACACTTTTTTCTTGCATAATAAAAGTAGTGTAATCTCCTAGAATTTTTATTCGACCCATTTCAAAGAAATGATTTTATTTTTTAAAAAAAAAACATGTCAAAAATTACTTTAAATTATCATTAAAAAAGTAAAATAAATCAAGTTTTTTGAAACTTCTCATAATTTTTTGAAACAAAATACATGCTGATATAATTAAACTTGTAATAAAAAATAATTTGGTCCACTTCATGACCTCTTCTCACTTTCTTCTATATCCAAAAGCCAAGTATTTCAAAAGAGATTTTTTCTTCACCAAAAGGGAAACCTTAATAGAGATTTTAAACCATGATCTTTCAAAGATACTCTTGTAAATATAAAGCGCCCCTACCACAAACAAAGTAATCATAAAATTCATAATCTATTCAATTATGAAAAAGATCCAATAAAAACAGTCGACAAGGCAATAAATACATTGTAAACATGGTAAGACTTACTACACTGCAGTTATTTTGGGTAAAGTCAAACTATGTACCAAAATATGCCCATGAGCCTCACTGATAGCACAGAAGTTTACCTTCCGTAAAGGAGTTACCTCAAATACTTCACCAATTTGAACACGTAGATTCTTTTCTCAGCATCAGTGTAAACAATTGTGGAGTTAAAAATCAGCCATCACTTCTGAAACCTGTACCAGACGAAAGCAATGCGCACCAGCATCACGAGCAAGCCTTTAAAACCCCTAAACATGCCACCTTCTATCTTTTAACATTATGGTGATTGTTTAAAAAGAGACCAATCAGCTGAAACAAACCTTTGTCGACATCGCAGAGTACCATCCTCTTCGTACTCGGCCTTGGTCACAGCCCAGGTGTGAAACTCGGGTCTAGCTGCCATAAGAGACGCACCCTTCCAAGCTGCTAAAATTGGACTACACAAAACCAATATACACAACTACCTTCAAATGTTGGTTACAGACTACTAAGGTACTAAAACAGCAACTACAGTAGGTGATACGCAATAACAATCGACTCGATAATGGATCATTCGACATATCGTAGATCTTGTTTGCGGTCACTTGACAACATGAATCCTAACTCTCTAAACCCGTAAGTGGTAATCATGAATTACAAGACCCAAAGAGAGAGAGAGAGCGTTATATGTGTCACCAACAAGTGACATCCACAAAAGACACATGGGTTACATATTTCATGGATGAAATGCAGAACACGATAAACCTCACAGCATGTTTGGTATAACGTTAACAGAAAGAACGAGTCGGCAGCAAAAAGTTGGAACTGCAGCTGAAATTTTATCATTTCACACATTACGATGTAACAGTTCTTCAATAAAGGAAAGAAATACAAAACCGTACCAGTCCACGATCTCAATGTTGATATTGAAATCGTCAGTTACCAGAGGACGAAGCTCATGCTCTCTGCAGTTTGCTTTAAAAACGATTGTCAAAGAACCAAACGACAATTTGATAGGTTGCCCAATAAGTTATAAAGACAAACCATCTCTGCAGCTCACATGTCATGAACACCTCATTGATAGATAAAAGACATTTCTCCTAGATGATTCAAACACGAGATAAACACTGGTTTATAGAATTAAAAGATCTATAAACTTCTTTAGTACTACGTTTAGGAGCAGGGCGATTAGATGAAAAGCAATAAGGACGACGCTGGCTTCGCAAAAATGTAATAGGGACTTTCTTGAATGTTATCGAACGAAAAGAAGATAATAAAGACGTGGAAAGAGGCTTACAAACGGTTCTTGAAACCAGGTAACAAAGTATTCCCACCCGTTAGCAGCACACTGCACACCATCAGATGCTAATACATTGACCATTGGTATCACAAAATACAGTGTTCACATAATCTCTCTGAAGAAGATGCATCTTCTCACGAAGCGACCCAGAAAATGAAAACAAGACATTTGATTCTTCAGTAGAAAAACGCACACCATAACACAGCTTGAATGATACTTCGCTTGCTAGCAGAGCACAAACACCTTCATGAAATATGCTAAAGACAATGCACTCATAACCATGATAGAACATACCTCTGATAAAGGAGAGCATGAAGTTCAGGTTCACAAGCATTGATTGCTCGAACGATGCACTCTGCCAGTCCCGCCTCATTCATCCCTACAAACATGGCAGGTTAAGCTCTGGATGGCTGCTCGCAAATAAAAGGTCAAAATCAACAAGCTAACCAGAACTAAGAGCCGCAAACACAAATTCACTTCTTGCAACTCTAAAGGACCAGTATTCAAATAAACTTACCAAGGTCAGCAGGGTGAAATAGCATCTCCGGGACCAGAAAGCGCTCATTTGTTAAAGTAATCTCTTGCTGCAAGCGTTTAAGGCAGTGGTTAAAAAATCAAACATCGTAACATCGCACCAAACAATAGCGACATACCTCACACCTGCGAAGTAAAGCGGGAGACAGTTGCTAAATCTTGGCAACATTGACAAAAAACTCCCGCAATTTTTCTGCACAAGGAGGCAGATAATACCTGATCTTCTTGCTTGATTTGAGGTGGTGCTTGTTTACGCTGTACCCGGTGCCTTCTACCCTCCTCACCTTGATCCTCGTCCATATGATGATCATCATCGTCATCTTCGTCGCTAACATTTACAACCTAGCAACTCCAGGTCAGGTGCTATATGACAAACCCATTCTCTGTTAAGTGCTATTCTTGACTAAGAAAACATCCACGTTTCATCATACAATGTCTAGAAACACTAGAGACTCTGGGAAAACTTATCTATTCTTAACAAAGAAAGAAGGATAAATAAAGGATTTAGAGAACTAAAGTTTAAGGAACATCTACCTTGTCATCAGACAGGGGTTCAAGTTCCTTCACAAAACCACGCTTATGTTTGACGCCATCCGGCAGTACATACTCGCGCCGCAGAGCGTTCGATTTGCCTTTCACCCTGAAGACCGATGAAGACATTGTCCACTACTATTGTATCGATAACAATGAATCATGACCAAAGCCTCGCCAAAACATGCATAATGGATACCACATGAGCAAATGATCTCTTAGCAATTAAAATTCCAGAAGGAATTTAAAGACTGAAAACAATGGAGCTAAACAAATCAAGGCGAGAAGTTCCACCGAGCAATGTTGAGATCACGTTCAATGTCCAAAGAGACAAAACACAGTTTTTCCTTCACGTCCTCCATGGTATATGTCTCGTCCATTACATTCCATGCCCGGTACGACACCAACTCCTTAAGATAATTTGTGAGAGCTTTGCCTCCTAGATTAATACGCTTCGCCGCAGTCGTCACAGCTTTATTCTGGAACACGGGCACGGTATGCGTGAAAGAAAATCCCGAGTCCACGACTAAGCTAGTCCTTCCCCTGGCAAGGATGCTCGTCGGCGCTTTCTGTGCTTGGTACGCATGCGCAGAGACAGCCGAATTCGATATACAAAACGATTGAAACCCAAAATCTTCAAACACAAGCTCATCTGTCGCCTTTTGAATTGACGACAAGGTGAACAAAGGTTCAACAAGCATCAACCCACACTCCGTAGGATTAACCTGCAAATTACGTCATCGGCGGGGGCGTCAACCACAGTCATGTATGCCCCACAAAACCCAATGCCTTTGACCATCTCCTAAAACCCTAAATCTTTGAAAATCATCGGCAACAACTACGAACAAACAATGGACCAACCTTAAGGTGGACCTTAAAAACGCGGTCCCATATTTCGCGTTCGATTTCCGGGCTGATCATATAACCCCTGTCGATCGGCCTCTTGATGGCAATACTCTGAATGTCGTCACACTCCAACAGCTGGTCCGCGATGAGCCATTTCTTCGCCGAGCGTGGCCGCGCCATACAATTAGGCACCACTGCTGTAGGCTCTGATTGCCCCGCCATACCTGCCTTACAGTATCCTGCTCCATTGTCCAGAACTACCACGGAGGACGTCACCCCTCCGCCAGTCCTCTTCATCGCTCCTCACTCGCTCGCCCCTCCAATCTTCGTACCCTTTCACAAACTCAAACCTCCCACAAGGCTCTTCTCCCAAATCCAACAAAAATATTCACGTTCACCAATTCTATTCTATCTCAAAACCCACCTCTCCTGACAAGAGAAACATCGTCACTACCCCTGAGGAAATTGCTCATTTCCAACCCCAAAACATTGCTCTAGCTCGAAAGATTCGATGGTCACGCATTATACTTCATGACACAGATATGGAAAATAGATTGTAGTCAGCTAAAGGAATGGCTCATATACTCAAAGAAGATGAAGATTCTACACCATCCTTCAACATGTTTTGGGGAGATCGTCATCAACATCATCCCAATGCTGGAATAAAAATGAGCGGGAACATTCGAAATGTACGAGCGTACAGTGCAATGCATAGACCTCTAGCGAAAGATGATAGCAAGTCGAGGGCAGAATAAAGGATTTTAGTCACTATCAGACAACATATGCCTCTCTTGTCGTTGAGTTGCGTCTTCGAAGTTCTCAAACTTCGACAAGCGTCTTCTTGGGATTGTGAATAGTTAACTTAGTGTGGGTCTCCATGTTTTGCGGATTTGCGGACGTGTTGTCTTCTTCCGTCCTTCTTTTTCTTTTCAACTTTCTGCTTTTTTGGGGGGACATAGGGCAAGGTGACTCTCATGCATGCAGGCTCTCACTCTGGTGTGGTGGCACCACTGTCGCAAGGTTCTCTTGGCTCCTTACAAGTGCATCTCTTCCTTTCCTACGACACGTGTTCTCTCGTCCTCTTCCTTCTCCTGGTCCTCTTGAACTCCAACCCCGATGGCCAAGTTCCATATCCCATCGCTCAACATCACCAAGTCATTTGTAAGATCGGTGCCGCATTCGGCATTGCAGATCTGTTGCTGCACTTCAGATATATTCATCATCTCTCTGTTACGGAGTCCTTGAGAAGTGTGCGAGAGAGTGTCGTTCGCTGAAATGTCGTCTCACGAGCTGTGGCGTCGTGCTGCCCTTGCGCTATATCGTCCAGTACACTTGCGCGGCGCTCCCGTTACTGTGGTGAGTGAATGCAGGGTAAACTGAGTTCCAAAAACTTTTAGAATTTTTCGCTTGAGATTGGGATGAGAGATCGGTAGTCAATGGACTTTGATTGCTGATTATGTCTCATATTTGCTTTGAGGGGATAAAGCAAACCTCCTTTAGAGCTTACGATTTGGTGATTCTCTCATTTTTCTGTTCCCTGTCAAAGGATTAGTGTCCTTTTAGCGATAGCAACGCTTTGTAAATGATTATCTTGTGTGAAATATCCTTCTTGCATACTCCATCATTGATGCATTTTTGTAACGATGCTAATACATAGGATGGTGAAATTATGGTCATGTACTTCTTTTTCGTTTTATATTAATATACCTGCATATTCATTTCTTTGACTTTGGTTACATTTTTGCAGTTCTGAACGTAATTGCTGTTGATTTATAAGTTTTTGCCTGACGGTAGGGTAAAAACTTGATAGCTAATGGTCGACATATTATAATTCTTCAGGTAAAACGTGGATTAGCAAGTGAGCGACCGGAGGATAGCTCCACGTCAAACTGGGGAGCAGGTGAACCGCCCATTGATGAGAAGACCACAGAGCGTGGAGTTAGTCCAGGAGACCAAAGGCCTGGCACTGCGTCCAAAAAATCAGACTCACATTCGGAAGACCAGAAAAGTACCGACGATTTCATCAATAGTAAGCGGGAAGAGCGAATGAAGTTCGGGCAGGTACAAATCGTCCCTTAAGCCTTGACTCTTGTATTTCCTCCTTGAAACCTTCGATTGCAACTTAGGTCACTCCGGTCTTCTTGTTCTTAATAATTTCTGCGTGGGCCTGTCGTCATGTTATATGCTAGAGAATGATGAAATGTGCTTCACAAGCAGTCAAATGTTAAGTGAATGCTTCATTAATGGAAGTGTCCACAAATCACCCCATCTGACGGTCCTTGTTCACATGAATGGAATGTCCTGGAGAACAGAATAAGAGATTGTGTAGCTCTAAATTGAATATTATCGGGATTGGGCGTTTTCAGGGATCCAAACCAATGTCAGAAGGTGATGCTGATGGAGAGAGAGTACGAAGTCAGCAAGAAGCAGTGAAGGAGGGAGCTCCTCATCCTGCAGACATGGCAGGGGGTTAATTAGATTCTACCATCAGGATCCATTGTAGTGCTAATGGAGTGAAGTTGGTGTACATTGACAGGTCTGAAAAATTCTTTGCTGTAAATCTGGATTTCCTGCAGTGACTTAAATCTCAAGGCACTGCAGGATAGACGTCTTGTGACTAGGCATGGTAATCCTTTTTCTACTAATTGTACTTGGAGCATGTGAAGTTGTCGAAGTGAACAGCTGAAAGTTAATAAATCTTTTCAAATTGATTTTGTATCTTCCGCCCACATTTCGTTAGTACCCGCATCCTCAATGATTGTCTATCTTCTGTTTAGAGTATAGCATGTTAGTTTTAGAGAAAACTAGAATATGCTACATGGGCTCATGCTGAGAAATACGAAATCAACCAGAATGGTAAAAGCTACACTCACAGAAGAGTCTTTTCCAAGGCCTTATGATCCTTTTTGTCTCAGATCTGTCAAAGATCGACAAATCGATGGACGACACAAACTAATAAACCGATTAGAACAATGACCGGTCAAGTTCAAAACTAATTCTGCACACAAGGAGGTTACAAAACTCACCAAATTGTGTGCACTGCATTCACTCATACGTGTATTGCTTCCTGTAAATTCTCTTTAATAAAAACTATGTTCACAATGCTGTGAATGCCAAGTGGTCACAAAAGCTTACAGAGTACAATACTACTTTACATTCAATAAATTTTCAATTAAATATCTTGGTTGTGTTTCAATAAGAAAATTAAACATATATTATATATATTTAATATAATACAAATTTGTATTTTTCTTGTAAGTTGTGAGAGCAAAGAATAATGATTGAATAACAATAATACATCTTAAAATTTGGATTCCATAAAAAAAATATTAAAATTAAAAACAAAGATTTATATATATATATATATATATATATATATATATATATATATATATATTAAATAGATGGTATTACAAATAAATGAATAAGTATAATTTTAAGATTTATTTGGTGTCACAAGACTTACTTAATTTGTTTCAATTTTCCTTTTTCAACAATATAATAGTATTATAGTGTTTTTTCATATAATTATACATAATTTTTATTACATCCATGTAAAAAAAATTTAAAACTTATTTTAGAATCTATTATCACATAAATATAACTTTACATGAAAGTTAAAATTTAATTCCAAAAAAGTAACTTCAAAAGATGATTGGATATCCAAAAGGCAAAGTAGAAGGTAACATCAATTTTGAGATACAATTTTAACAACAAAACATAGATTAAAGCAATATCAATATTAAAAACACATTATGAAAGCAAACTGAATTTTTGATCTTAATAAACTAGTTACATATAAAACATCAAGAACAATACACGGATTAAGAAATTTAATGGAAAATCTAAGATTAATAGTTAAATTAAAGTGTATAATTGAACATAATAATTTTATCTTAAAGCAATCACCATAAAAAAAATAGCAAATAGGAATTTTAGAATGACAAATAAGATCATAGATATAAAAATCTATAAAATTAAAAAAATACAATACTTACTTTTAAATTTTATCTACATCAAAAGACCATGGCATAAACCATATTTTTACTTGTACAAATCTAAGAAGCAATAGTCACAAATAACCAAATTTTAAATGTTCAAAACTTCATTTGTTAGATTCAAAGAATCTTTTTGCACAAATAGAAGTATAACATTATTTAAATGTTGTTATAGATATATTTAAAAATCTATTTAAATTTACAAGTATTTAGAAATATACTAAGATTTTGTGAAATTAGATTATAATAAATAGTAACAATAAAAAAAAATTATGTCAAAACTAACAACAATTGAAATTTGAATGCCAAATACTTTTACAAAAATAAACACATGTATTGCTAAAATAATGGACTCTACTAAAATCAAAAATAGTTTTATATCTAATACTAAAGACAAATGCAATGATATTCAAGAATAACAACAACTAGAAGCAGCAATAATATGATTCATGTCAATGTCATGAGAAGCAAATTTTGTAGTAAATAAGCACAAGAAATCAAAGTTAAATTCAATAAAAATCTATAGTTAAGCACCAATATTGAAAAAAACACAACAACAAACAATTAGAAAAATGTAAACATGACAACTAATACTTTGAATTTAAAGATTTAAAGCTTAATCCACATTATACCTAATATAATAAAATGATTAAAAGTATGGATATAAAAATGAACACTACAACAAAGGTATTAATTACATACATCAAAATAAATAAATCTTAAGCTATATATTTATTCAATCATTAAAAAAAGTTGTTATTTTATCTTCACTATCATTATAAAAAATACAAATAGCAAAACATAATGTGCGTTGTTGGCATTCAAATTTCAATAGATTTGGTGTTGAATGCCAAATAATAAAAACTACACACAACTACCATATGCCCCAAAAAATTTGGAAAAGAAAAAACATAAAAACGAATGAGAAGCAATCCTAAATTGATTTAACATTAACCTCCACTTTAACTGACTGAAACGTACACACTAGATGCAATTCGTCTACCCAATTAACTAATGCACTAATAGGAGTGTTAGTTACACACCATATGTTATTATCAATGGTTTACTAGCATGTAGTCAATATCATATCAAAAAGACACATCTCTTTCATGTAACAAGAGTAATAGTCAGGAAAAGAAATATGTAGAAATTAGATATTATGTCATACAAAAGCGCATTATTACCATGACTATCAATGTAAGGTATATAATTGATAGCGAACATTACGCCCTCCATTCTGTCAGGAGAGGAAATGACTGTCCTACAGCTTTTGTTTCGAAATCGCTGTTGTATTTTGGGATACATGTGATTTTGAATGATGGGATACATGATCTTACGAGAGCGACGCAGTCTTCTGCAGGGAATCAATCTACTATCTGCTGCAAGAATATTCTCAAATTGATATCGTTAGAAAAAGATGAAATACATGTTCATTTAGATCAGTAACCCTTCCTCTGTACAGATTCTTTATCATACCATGATAAAAACGTCACCAAATGACTCCAAGCAGTGTCAGTTAGAAACCTTGTCACAAGAAAGCTCATATCTAACTGATTTTGAATGCACACAGGAACTTGGTGGTACAACACTGCACCATATCAGAAACATTCGCATTTCGTACAACGAGACTGGCATTTGTAGGAGATTAAAGTGGCAAAGTGAATATTAACATGCAAATAGGTTCAAGATTTAATGAGCTGATCGTAAAGATAGTACTTAGAGCTCATCGTAAGATTCCTTCTATGATGAAGATAATTAACGATGACAACTCAAAAAGTCTGGGATGATATGCGAAGAAAACCAAACCGACGAGCATCTGGATAGGAAGTGAGATATCAAAACAAGCACGACATTGTTCGTAAACCGAGAATTTACCGCCAAAGTATCACAATTCATGCAGATTATTTTACTACATGTGATATGTACATAACGAAAGTGGAATATATGCATTGCAATTCGTGAGCAGAACCTCTCAATCGACAACACTATCACATGAAGTAATATCAAGTTATATGACACCTGTTGGTAACTCAGTCTTGAGAGCTTATTAGATCAACTGCCATAGCAACGTCCCCCTGGGTAGCAATCAACGCATTTGATGATACTGTCTGCATCCACAAATGAAAACACATCCCATGAGAAGCTGACTCACACAGATAATTTTCATGCTCACATCAAGATCTACTACAAAAGAAACTTTCTAAGATTAGGGCTCATCTAAACAGCTCCTGAAAAAAGGTCACAAATTTACGGATTGCTTTGGATGTTTAAGTTCTGAATAAAGAAAAGTGTATGACCTTATCAAACCCCATGGCCACAAGGCTCGCTACCGCATTGTCATCCACCTTAGATTCCTGCGTCAATAAACCCTTTCCTGTCTTAACTATGTGGAAAGAGAGAATTGAAGATGAAAAGCGAGGTCTCTAAAAACAATGGCAACACAATAGAAATAAGGTAGAAGACAACGAATTTGTGCAGACGCTGTGACATACTCACTACGAGTTTCATCAGAAACAAGGTACAAATCGTTGACACAACAGCAATAAGTATTGATTTTCTCGAATAGGCAAACTAACACATAACACAGAACACAGAAGAAATCCAACTTCGAAGACATCTTGGCAAACTTAATGTCATAGGGGCCCAGTGTTTGATATACTCACGTGATTGTCGACTGTATTCATTGATTGTTGAAGATTCCCCCTGCAAGGCACCAAATCGGTTCCATCAGCTGCATGATTGTAAATAACCATGATGAGGACTTGTCGCCGACTTTAACAATAATCAAGGACTATATTGACAGTCCACATGAGCCAATTCAATCCAGAAGTTAACACGGTGATTAATGAGCATGTTGAGCAACAGACTCATGATTAAAGCAGGAATCGGTCGTATTTCTAGTAATAATGTCTTTGTAGAAAGAGAATCAAACATTTGGAGGATAACACGGCAAAATCGCTGCATTATCAACCTATTGTGAGGCGGTGTGGTAGAAAGGTTCTGCTGCATTTCAGGTGAAGACACAGCAGGGCCTGGATCCAAGAGCCTTGCATGCAAGTCTGTCTGATTGCTACTAGGTTTGGGCCTCCGACCTCCTGATAGTACCGGTGATCTCACTTGAGCAGGAGTTGAAACCGAGCTTCCTAACACCTGTCCGCGACCAGGAAATCTCTGCATCGCAGGTAAATGTCCATCACACATCAAGTTGTACTCTTGAAATCTAACAAGATGATAATGTATCGTGTTAGAAGCATAAATATAAATAGTTTATAATGAAATTATTATACAGAAGCAAAAAATTGTAATCACATACAGTCGAGATATGTGCCATATCAGCCATAGGAGTGCTAGTCTGTGAATCACATTAACTCAACAGAACTGATGTGAGGTAATAAAAATGTTTCGATGGTAGTACTGAGAAACTGAAACTCTGTAAGAGACACTCCACTCCTACCAGATAGTTTTAGGAAAAGACAATACCAGAATCTCAACCTACTTCTGGATATATCAAATGCAACAGCAAAAAGATTAGCAAAGAACAACCATACAGTGCTACTATGTGAAATGCACGTGTACCTCATCTGCTGTTGTGGAATCTTGCCTTGCTTGAGGCAACCAGCCTTGTATTCTGTTCATCACCGCCCGAAAAGAAGAAACGCTGTTGCTCCTACAGCCATTATGCAGCAAACCATAGGCGGTAAGGAAGGTTAACGAATGGTGTAAGAGTCATCAAATTATCTTTAATAAGCGACGACAGGGTATCTCTGTGTAATATACGTTTTTGTGGTTAGAACAACTCAGCTCAAAAAGCCTGTAAAAAATTTCACTCTTGACGCTTACCAGAAAATCATTCAAGTGAATTTGCCTCTAAACTGCATAAGCATAATCTTGTCTGCACGAAAAACTAGTATTAATGTTGATTTTGATAGATACTCTCATTGAGAATGGCAACCTTACCCGGGCATAGGAAAGGAAGGAAGTGACGATGGAGCTGTGCCACCACTGCCTCCAACAATGAATCCAGGTCTCCTAACAAGAGGTGCCTGAAACAATTCGGTTTGCGCTTAAGGGAACGACCAAAATGAGCGTACATAACTTGCCTCATAATAATGAGCATGCCACTGATGGAAAATATCATTCCTCTATATATAAACAAATCAACAAGACCAATAACGGGATGAAATAGTTTATAGCATACCCCTAAATCAATTCTGAAAACAAAAAGCATACATCATCATGAAGAGATAGTAGGAAACTCACAAGACAAGGTAATCCTTCAACAGCTGCATACTTGCTGGAACTCAGCATACCACAATTGAAGAGACCGTATGTATCTGAAAACAATCATACAGAAAATCATTCCTCAATCGCAATTCGTCAGAATGAATCGCAACACAAGGTCCGAGGCATAAAAGTAAAATAATGACTTTATTCAACATTCACCCATACAATCAATTCGGGTTGGCTGTTCTTAACATCTGACCATCGTTAATAATTAAGGAATAAAGATGCCGAGACTGATGTCTAACTTCATTAGCGAGAGTAATGTGAATGAAACCAATGAATTGACTGACCCATGCATCACTGTAGCACTTACAACAACCTAGAGGCACGAATGGAGGCACTTACAAGCAAAACCAGAGAGAATGCCAGCAAGGTGGCCAAGCAGGGACGCCCTTGGCATCAGCAATTGAAATAGCACCAAAAGAGCCCAAGGATACCTGGCCGCGTAGAAATATAACACACAAAACAAAACACCTGATTTCAGATTCAAAATGACCTACCCAAATAAAACATGTAAGATTTTTAAAAGTAACCTTGAGAGGGTTAGACTAAGATGATAATGAACATTCGTAGGAGAGGAAACCGTGCAGTAGGGTTGAAGCAACTATTTTTCCCGTTTCTACTTCCAAGCATATGGAACACTTACCATTTTGCTGGAACTGAGAAAAAGCCAAATACACTGCACTCAAGAACCACATACCACACAACAGAAGTTACATGAGAGATGCGAAATCATATCTAATTTATGTGCCATACCCGTGTATTCAGAAACGAATTAAGAGTTAACAAGCAAGTATGTTTTCAAGTACTTTACAACTCGGGGTTGTCGCCGTCAAATCTACGAGTCAATTTGAATTGACGTATTAATTGTTAATTGAGTGGGCAGCACAGCAAGGTTAAATTCATCTTCATACTCACAACTTCAAAATGCCAAAAACCAACAGACCCTATGGCAAGGACGATAGCCTGAACCTTCAGGAGTGCAGATCTTACTATCCGCGAAAACATAAAAAGAAAGGCCAGACCACCACGTTATATCTTCCACCCTAAATTTCAACGTTGCAAAGGATTCGCAAATAAACGAGGAACATACCTTCGAGTTTGAACAGGATTCAAGCTGGTTTCCATAACTATCATTGAAAAGATGACACCCGAGAAACCTATGCCACACTCGTACATCAAGCCAGGATAAGGGTGAACAGGATTATACGCAGCCAGGTATGCGATGACAACCTCGATAAGCGCATTGCTGGTGGCCATAATAAAGAGAACGTGGAGGTAACGGACTGAACCCAATATGCGCTCTAGGCCACTACCAATAGGGGCTAGTGCTAGCATATTGAACACGAGATGCAATATCGATGCATGGAAAACGATAGAGGTGTAAGGCCTGTACACTGCATCACCCAAGACAATGGTATAAGAAATTCTTCTAACATCAAGTTGCAATCAAATCCGTGGAAAGCGACAATATAAGGGATGTACGCTTATATCTAAGACGGGAACACAACCAGGCCGATTAGAGATGGTGCAAATTAGAGAGGTAAATGAAAAGAGACTTACTGAATCTGCTTGGTGCGTAAATAAAAACGCGCAAGACTAGGAAAAGGCATGGTCGAACAACAAAATTCACCGCAAAAGGACAAGACAATACCTTGTACTCTATCAACTATATATTTTGGTAGAAGGCAGACTTGGATAAAGCTGTCATATCCGAATAGTAAGCAGATCACGTATATAGCAGTGCACAAAAACACCACTCCTGCAGTTACACAAGGCACAGCTGCCCACCACTGGTTCGCACGGGTGCTCAGACTAGCCTGCAAAGAAGACAACCCACGCTTTGGTGAAATCAAGCTGACATACATTTAAGGCATGGTTCTTTAAGAATATTTCCAACTCAGACGAGCAGTCAAGAAAGCGTCGTCAGTCAGCTCCTATACGATTTACTTAACACATACCAGCACACTAAGTTTGGGGACTGTCATAAGAAGAGAACAGGCTCAATCGTGCAAGAATGCAGGATCACAAAGTAGAGGGGAGACTTCAGGAAATATATTCAGAGGACTAAATTTAACGCAAATGTTGGCTGGTGAGCACATTCTGATGCTTGTCGACGAGTATTATTCAACCGTTAACTGCAGCATCGTGGTCTCAAGTATCGACAGTGAAGCTTTCAACAACAACAACAGTAAGAATAATAATAATCGCAATCGCAAACCCAGATGATTCGTGACTGCTCCATTAAGCGCCATCTGCCAAGGTTTAAAAACACACTGCACTCTAGATAGACAAACAAATACCAATATCCCACCCATTTCATAGAACACCGACATGGCGATTTTGTGCTCTGCCTCTACTAAAGAAGCTATTCTATAATCGAAACCCTAATTTACTCCCTAGACCTCCTCGGTGCATCACCACATCTAGGGAAGCTCTACGTGTACTAAACCTCAAGACAGCTATTCCCATAGAAATGTCGAGCCTTCGATTTAACGCATGCGTTCAAGTCGACACTGCATTGCGTGCACTAACCGAAAACAATTTGCAAAGTATCCCGTACTCAACGTCTCAATCCTGTTGTCATTGCCAAGCCCATCGAAATACAGTCAAATTCCATGAAGTGAAACCCATCGAAAGCAGAAAACCAACCTCGGTCACCACATTGCCCCTCATTGCTCCCGTTGTCGATGCTCTCTGATGAGACCCCAACCTCTCCAGTTCAGGTAGTATCACTCATCTCCACCATTGAAATTCCGCTACATCACCCAGCTATCCCCATGCCATGGTGAAAACCCACAAATCCAAGCTCCTGGGTAACTATGTCATACAAGTCCGCTCCTCAATCTCAGGCCCAAATCGACAAACACACCATTTCACTGCATTTAGAATGAAATTTTCCTCTCACCGTCACTGAACCACCATCAATGTTCCAGGTATCGTCGGAATCGTCTGAAAAAGAAAATAAAAATAAATAAAAAAACAGCAATACAATCGTGTTGAGGGGATGAATCTACAAACAGATTGCAGGTCAATTGGAGTGAGCGGGATGAGTACACAGCGGCGTTGCATTTCGACAACCATGCACACATTCAAAACACTCCCAGCACCAAAACGCACATTCCATGAGCCATCCAATTCTTTCCAAGCACATTCGTCACGCCGACGTGGCACATATAAATAAATAAACAAACAAATAAATTTATAATTGTATTCATTCCTCAGACGTGGAAGGGTACATTGGGCTGACGTAGCATAAGACTGTTATGGGTTGCTGTTGTAACGAGTGGCACCGCACCAGTTCATTTTGGGCTGGTTCGCTTCACATTCTGCATGGTTGCTCATTTGTTGAACCCTTACTTAGATCCGGAATTATTCATCTTTTCGTGCCCTTGCAACCCTAATTGGTTTCTTAGAAGTGGATTTCTCCAACATTGGGCGCGGAAGCACACCTAGTTATGTTAAGAGCATTTACTATAATGGTAATGTAAAAATAAATATGGGTTCACCTACATCTTTGTTAACGTTCAACAGTTGTTTTTTTATTATTTTTTTTTTTTTTTTTTTTGTGGGGTGTATTTGTGGTTTTTCTCTTCTTATTTATTAAAGCAAGAGGTGTTTGTATACAAAACAATTTCATGTCATCAAAGAGAGAGTGCAACAATCTTATTTTATCAAATATCAACCAATAGACACCAAAAGTTGTAAAGATTGATCACTTTTCTAACTTCGTACATGTTTAGTGTACAACATGAACTTCAATAGAAGCCAGCACCTCCTAAACAATAACCATGAGATATTGCAACACCTAGGAAGAATAAAAAATCAAATAATTAAAAACACAAATATAATTAATCATCAATTTGATCTTTGTTGCAAAGCAATGATCCATGAGGAAAAACAACAATTACACCTCAGTGACTCAGTTCAACATGTTACTACTAAATCAAAGCAAGAGTCTCCTTTATGGTTGCCTAGAGATATCTTTGGACCAAGTTCTGCAAAAACTTATATAAAAGTTAGTATGCAGAATAACTACATTAGACACACTTTTCTGTTACCAACACACATTTCAAATTATACCTAAATTGCTCTGTTAACAGTTTTAAAGCAAATTTTATTCCTAACCAATTCCAACAATTATTTCAAACTTCCAAATTTTTTGTTCTTTAATTTGGCATCACTGACACGTGGTATGATGTATTATTGGGCGTGGCATAATAGCAACATGTTACTTAAAGGGTTGATATCATCAAAAAGAGTTTGAAGATATTTCAGACATTATAACTCTAAAATTGATTAGATTGACAATAGATTATGTATGACCTTGTTTGACAAACAAACTTAGATATGATTTTATTTTCTTAATGATAACTAAATAAATGTAATATATTACATACAAGGCAATGAAAAGCTATTGATCATTCTTTTCAATACCACGATGAGTATTATTATATTATGAGAATTTCTCAATTGAAATTATTTCTATTGAAGAAGATGCATTTTTTGGTATGACTTAGTATTTTTAAATTTTAAAAATATTGCTTTGTGTTTCTTTTTTTCAATAACTTATAAAAAATATGTAAAATAATAGTATAACATAGCTTGATTGTCCATATTATACATGCTATCCAAAGTTCTAAAAACATCATAATGATAACAATGGATATATGTAAAATTATTGTATACTGTCTTGTGTATTCTTTAATTAACTAAATCAATGAAACTGAAATATTTAGTATTCGTGATAGGTCGAAACATAAAGTTGTATATATATGTTTATCTCTCTCTCTCTCTCTCTCTCTCTCTCTATACATATATATATATATATATATATACTAAATATATTAAATCTAAGAATTATTAAAAAATTAATTAATAAAACTATTAGAAAAAACAAAAATATTTTTCTTGAATCTATTAGGAAATTATTATAACATTGATAAGTCTAAAGTCGTTTTTAAAATGATAATAATAAATATATTTTTAAATTTAATTAAAATTATCTACTCAAGAAAATAGTTTATACAAATATCTTAATCAAGATAATGTTATATGAAATAATAAGAAAAGAAATAAGGTGTGTTTCTACAGAGATTGTTTTTCATGCTTTGGTATTTTTGTAACGAAGATCCAAAAAAAAAGTGTCTTGATTTTGATTTCCAATGTCAAATAAACAGTAACAATGATCCCTAGTTATATTCCAAAAAAAAAAAAAAAAAAAAAAAAAAAATCAATATTAAACACTTAAAAAAAATTTATTAGTTCTTGGACTATATATTTCAATATACATTGTAAAAAAGAATAACCGTGGAGCTAGATTTGCACTAATTAAATATGATTTCTTTTTTCTGGTTAAATTTTGCAATATGCACACACACACACACACATATATATATATATATATATATAGACTCAATTATTTTTGTGAAAGAACTAAGAATAATTTAATTGAGACTTCTTTGCTCATGTACATGGACCTAAACAATTACCAAAAGTAATTACCAGGACTTTGATAAGTTTCTTTGGGCACCAAAGGCATTGCAAAACAAGTGATAGAAACCAGTGAAACACATACTCAAGTCTTAAGATAGGAAAATCCTGTTATTCAAGTGGTTGTGCACAGTGCATTGTGGTGATTGTACACGAAGGTTCAACCCAAAATAAACAACAATAATCCAGCCACCCATGTCCTATCCATGTGCCACATCAGCAGGATGCCACATCAGCCAACCAGAAGATGTAAGAGGTCTGCAACAAAAGGCATAATGCCAAGTCATAAAATTTCCCTGGAAAAACTCATATTGCAAAAGGGGTGGTGGGGACATGGCAGAGCACCCACAATGCACTCAGCCTTGGTGACTATAACAGGCAACAACAAATAAGGGATGACAAAAACATAAAGACAAAGATGAAGGGTGGGAATGGATCTGAACAGCATGCCCCGACATGCCAGCTCTACCATCCACTTCAAAATCACAGCCAGTTGTAAAGGAAAATGGGGGCTCTGTGTGCCCAGTGTGCAATCTCTATTTTGGGCTCCTCCCTCTTGCCCTCTCTTCCCTATTATCCCCCCCCCCTTTATTCCCTTGCAATGTACCCTATTTTCCCAAATTAGTTTGCAGCTCCCAAACTGGGTGCCTGTACTGGTCCCTCCTTTTCTACTACAGTGCCCTGGTATTTGCAAATAAAACTATGTGGAGGTTGCAAAATAATTTGTTGGGTCTAGTCCCTTGCTCGTGTACAGAATCTCACCCCCACCATATGGTATTTCTGGTAGTTTGGTGGCTTGGCCTTTTTGAACCCACTTCCATATCATGAGGTGGGTTTGCTGTGTGAATTGTGGGGAATAATGTACATCCTTGACTGTTTTGATATTTCTATTTTGTGAGCTACATGACAAGAGAAAGACAGGGTAGTATCCATACCTGTTTAATTTTATCTGCTTTTTTGGAATATGCAGAAAAGTGTTAGGTTTGGAAAAAAATTGACCCATAAAGGGTTGTAACATAGTAGGAGTAATTTATATAACATAGTAGTAATTATTTTTATTTGACGCCCTTTGGTTGGATTATGCACACTCCTGCAATTGCTCTTCTTTCCATATACTCAGTATATACTTTGATTTCTCATGAATATCAATGTTGGGGCTATGCCAATTCATTAAATACTCATGATTCAACATACAATGATGGGTAAGCTCATTTTAATTTAAAATCTAATGAAAGTGTCCTTATCTTGGGAACTTGTTTCAAAAGAAAAACCCAAGGCACTTAGCTTTGGATTCAACTATCATTTTGGGGTTCAATATTTAGGTCAATTTAGTCTAGTTGATGATGCTTTGATCAATGTACAATTACTGTGATTGTTGGTTTTGAACCTTCCTTCTCTTTTCAAACTTAAGAGAGCCATGTGGACTTTTTTGATAGACAAATCCACAATGTATCTTGAAGGAAATCTAAAAAAAACACTAACAAATAAATTATTATTACCATGAAAAGTGAGAATGGTTACAGATTTTTAAATCCAAAACATTTTTATACTCGATAGAAACATCAACTTTAGTTTTGTGGAGGCTCTTCTATATTCTTTGAAGATTGTGACAACTTTTTTGGAACCTCATCGGAGAATTCAGTTTTTCTTTACATATAATTTTTAAATTCTTTGTTTGCAACACAATCTATATATATATATATATAGAGAGAGAGAGAGAGAGACAGAGAGAGAGAGAGAGAGAGAGAGTTTTGGACAATAGTGTTTAAACTTATTTTTAACAACTTAACTTCACTATGTTCTGAAATAAAAACATGTACATTTTTATTGCATACATATTTGATAAATTCAGATCAAATGTGCATAACATTAAAAACCAAAATTCAATTAGCTTAGAAAATGGTTTAAAATAGAAACATTTTAATTTTAATTTATAAAAATATTTATAATATATATCTTATTGAAGAAACACTGCAGCTTCTTGTATTACATGAGCAAAAAAACAATTTATTCTAAGATGATTAGATTTTCAATAATGACTTTTTTTTTTTTTTTTTTTTGTTTTTGGCAGTTTCAAAGATGTAAACTCTAGAAATATCTATTTATCTGTCTATCTGTAAACAAATCAAACCAAATCAATAAAATAGATTAAAAGAAAAAAGTGCCTACTTGACTAATTTTTGTGTACAAGTCCAGTATTTAAGCACCAAAAAAATTAAAAAGGGAATTTTTGTGTACAAGTCCAGTATTTAAGCACCAAAAAAATTAAAAAGGGAATTTTTGTGTCTTTATTAAGTCTTCTACAAGTTTTTAACAAACATGACATACAATTCAACACCAAACTGCATCATGGGCATTGACAATTTGGGCACTAACATGGTATTATTTGATGGAATTTTAAAGCATGCCAACATATGGTGGTGATTATGAAGGTGGTACATGCATTCAAAACATCCATCACATTTATGAACCAAAGGATTCAAGTATCCTTATTGGAAAGATCTACCATGCATTAAGAATATGCCAACTATCTTTACTCTATTGTAAACATTTATATATGAATCTTAGGTCTGTTTCTCGTGCAATGTGTTTGGTATTTTTATTTTGATTTTTGATTTTTGATT